GGATGGGATGGGATGGATAGCACTGGATGGGGTGGGATGGGATGGACAGCACTGGATGGGGTGGGATGGGATGGGATGGGATAGGATGGGACAGCACTGAATGGGATGAGACAGAACAAGTATCACTGCGATACCACAGGCTGGCACTGGCAACTCAGAGCTGGCCCTGGGAGCCCTGGGCCAGCACTGGGAACCCCAGGTGTGTGGTGTCTGCTCACCCCTGTCTCCGCAGCTACTATGGGCTCACCGTGTGGTTCCCGGACATGATTAAGCACCTACAGAGCATCGAGTACGCATCACGCACGAAGCTCTTCACGCGTGAGAAGGTTCGGCACTTCACCTTCAACTTCACCCTCGAGAACCAAGTGCACCGTGCTGGGGAGTATTACAACGACAAGTGAGTGAGCAGAGGCTGAGCCTGGGGTTGCTGAGCTCAGCACAGGGGTGGGGGGCATCTGGGGCCTCCCTCCTGTCCCCCGCCCCGTGCAGGTTCATTGGGCTGAAGATGAAGTCAGTGACGTTCGAGGACTCGCTCTTTGAGGATTGTTACTTCGAGGACATCACTTCCAGCAACACCTTCTTCAAGAACTGCACCTTCATCTCCACCGTCTTCTACAACACAGGTGAGGGGATGGAATCCCCGGGTGCATGGAGGGGGTGACCCACCAGGGTGGCCCCCAAGGTTTTGATGGAGGTGGAGGTGAGCCACCAGGTTGGAGGAAGGTCAGGAAAGTCCCTGAAGGTGGCCTGATGGAGTTGGGGACCAGTGTGGTCCCCAAAGGGGTGGTGGTGGAGGTGTGATTGTCCCAGTGGGTGGGAGGGACCGGGCAGGTGTGCAAGGAGATGGGGTGACCCCCGTGGCCCACTCTTCCCCTAGATCTCTTCGAGTACAAGTTCATCAACAGCCGGGTGGTGAACAGCACGTTCCTGCACAACAAGGAGGGCTGCCAGCTGGACTTCAGCGACGACAACAACGCCTACATGATCTACTTTGTCAGCTTCCTGGGCACCCTGGCTGTGCTCCCTGGAAATATTGTCTCGGCCTTGCTCATGGACAAGATCGGCCGCCTGCGCATGCTGGGTGGGCACTGGGCCTGGTGTGCCTTCAGCAGGGTGGGGCTGGGGGGGGATCCTGGAGGTTCCTTCCGGCCCAAACCAGGCTTTCCATCTTCTTAACCCACCTGCTGGGTCACTTCATCACCATCACCTTTTGGGGACTACCCCGGTGGGTCACCCCACCTCCCTCGCCCCTTTGGGAACCTTCCTGATCCTCCTCCCAGCTGCTGGTCACCTCCATTTCTGTTGATCTCTTGGGGACCTCCCTGTCCCTTCTGGTGGGTCACCCCCATCTCCCTGTCCCTTTAATACTCTCAGCCCCCCTCAGTCCCACCTCCTGTCTCAGTTCCCCTGTGCTCTGACGTGTCCACATGTCCCCCAGCCGGCTCCAGTGTCATGTCCTGCATCAGCTGCTTCTTCCTGTCCTTTGGGAACAGCGAGTCTGCCATGATTGCTCTGCTCTGCCTCTTTGGGGGGGTCAGCATTGCCTCCTGGAACGCCCTCGACGTGCTCACCGTGGAGCTGTACCCCTCCGATAAGAGGTGGGGGGCTGGAAGGGAGGTTTTGGGTGCAAGAAGTGAGGTTTTGGATGCTGGGTGGGAGGATTTAGGGGCTGGGTGCCAGGTGTGGAGGTTTTTGGGTGTAAAGTTGGGAGGCTTTGAGTGCTGGGGGCAATATTTTGGGTGCCAGATGGGAGAGTTTGGGCTCGGGGTGATGCATGTGGATTATCAGTTGGGAAGTTTTGGATGCTGAGGTACCAAGTGCTGGGTACAGGTCTTGGGGTGCTGGGTGCCAGGTGTGGGTTACCAGCTGCTCAGTACCTGTTTCTGGCTGCTACCTGCCAGCCCTTGGCTGCCAGTTACTCATTTTGGGGTGCTGGATGCACATTTAAGGGTTTTGAGTTCCCATTTTGGAGTGCAGGGTGACCGTTTCAGGCACGTGCCCGCACCCCTGCAGGTGCCCCCCGAGGTCGGGTACCCACCCCTACCCCCGGAGGTGCCCCCACCAACCCCAGCCCTCCTCATCCTCCCCAGGACGACGGCGTTTGGGTTCCTGAACGCGCTGTGCAAGCTGGCGGCCGTGCTGGGCATCAGCATCTTCACGTCCTTTGTGGGCATCACCAAGGCTGTGCCCATCCTGTTTGCCTCAGCCGCGCTGGCCCTCGGCAGCTCCCTGGCCCTCAAACTGCCCGAGACACGGGGGCAGGTCCTGCAGTGATGGGGGGCTGGGGGAGAGGGATCCCCTCCCCGGGGTAGCCCCCCCAAATCCAGCATTTCCCCCCTTCATGCCCCTGGGATTAGTCGCGTTAGACACTGTGAAACGTCTTCTTGGAGCATTTTGGGATCTTTTTCATTTGCACTTGGACCTGACCACCCCCCCCCAGCCCCTCCCAGATCCCCCTGTACCCCCAAAACCTCCTCGACACCTCAAACTGCCCCCCTGGCCCTCAAAACTCCCCCCCCCGACTCCCTGTCCCGCCTCAACCTCCAATACCCCCTCAGCCCCCCAGTTTCTTTTCTTGGTGTCACCCCCTATGTGAGTTGCTGCTCATTCCTGGGAGGCTGTGGAACAGGATTTAGGGGGGGCCCTGGCATCGGAGGAGGATGACACAGGCCCTCCGAACCCCCATAACCCTCTGCATCCCCCCAAATCCCTGCCGAACCCGGGAGGAGGAGGAGGATGAAGTCTCTGGATGTGGAGGGGGGAGAGGGTCCCCCTGTGCCTCAGTTTCCCCATCCCTGTGGAGGGCATTCAGCAGGGTCCCCTAAACCCCCACGGATTTGGAGGGGGCATCTGGGGGTGGCCTTGGGGTGCCTCAGCAATGCCTCGGGGGGGACACAGGATATTGGGGTGCAGAATCCCCTTGGGGCTCCCTGACAATTTTAGGGTGTCCCCCCCTTAAAGCACATGCCCCCCCCTTTCCCCCAGGATGCCCCCACTTTTGGGTGCCCGACTTTCAGGGTGCAAAGCACAGCTCCCCCCCCTCCCAGCCACAGCCCCAGCCTTTGGTCTCATTTGGGGTACAGCAGCAGCGAACCCCCAAAACTGCCAGTTAGTGATTTTTAACTGATTTTTAAAGGATTTTCCCTATTAGAGGGAGGCTGGTGTGGGTGAGCAGGGGTGCGGGGGGCTCCCTGCATCCTCTTTTCCTCCTCCCAGCCCCTTTCCCCTCCCTGCATCCCCGTGTCCCCCCACATCCCCTTTTAACCCCTCCACCACAACACTCCCCTGCACCCCCTTTTACCTCCCCCCAGCCCAAAAACCACCAGCGGTTTGTAAAGCACAAACAGCCCCTACCCCCAAACAAATTGGGGTACAAGGGGTCCCTAGTGCTGTGCCCTCCTCTAAAGAAATCGGGGTTCAGGGGGGTCCCAGTGCCGTGTCCCCTCCAAACCTGGGGTTTAGGGGGTGGGGGGTCTCCCATGCTCTGCTCCCCCCTGCCCAATCAGCCCCACAGGGCAGGGCAGGCTCGGCCAGAGCCAAACGGGAGCCCCAATCCCCCCCTCCATCCCCAGGGCAGCCCCCTCCCATTCCAAGCAGCCCCCGTGTGCTTTGTCCCCTCCTTGGTGTAGCTGGTCCTTGGGGCCCCCCCCGGCCCCCCTGTAGCTCTGTCGTGCCGTGCTGTAGTTTCAGGTGTTTGTAAATTAATTAAAATGGAAAAAACCATCCCAAAAAAAAAGCACGAAATTACCCAAATCCCCCCCACCCCCCCTCCAAAGGCTTCTCCAGACTCAGCTGCCCCTCAGAACACGTTTATTTAAATCGATTCAGACATTAAATGGGAGGGGCACCCCAAAAATCCCCCGCAGGGTGGGAGCGGGGGGTGGTTGTGTGGGTCCAGGCTGGGTTGATGGGGGGGTCTGGGGGTGGTGTGGGCTGGGGGTAGGGGCAGAGCGCGATGGGGAGGGGGTGTCACCCCCATTACTTTCGCCCCCTCCCAACTCCAGGCTCCGTCTGCTACGCTCACACCGGGCTGGGGGTCCCGTGCTGTTCCTGGGGGGGGGTCTCCGGGCTCTCACTGCTGCCCGGTCTCTTCTCCCCCGTCCCCGCGGCGTTGTTCCCGCTTGGAGCCCCCCAGGCAAGGGGGAGCGGGGGGAACGTGGGGGTCGCTCTCCCACTGCTCGGGGGTGCGGGCGATGACTTGCAGGGCGTGCAGGGGCCCGGCCAGCTCTGCCCGCAGCGCCTCATGCACCAGGCGGTGCCGCTGGAGCGGAGGCAGCCCCGAGAAGCGCCCGCTCACCACCAGCACCCCGAAATGCGTCTCGGCGCCGGGGGGACCCCCGTGGCGGGGGGAGTCGTCCCGCACCTCCAGGTGCGTGGGCTGCAGGGCCGCCGTCAGCTTGGCACGGATGGTGCGGGCCAGGGGCCCCCCCATGGACCCCCCGGCGGCCGCCAGGAGGGGACCCCGCATCGGAGAAAGGCTGCAAGAGAGAGAGGGGGGGACATTTAGGGGGGGGATGCAAGGATAGAGGCCTTCTCGTCCCCCCCCCCCCCCAGGTTTCGGAAGAGTTTGGCGATGTTTGGGGGGGCTGAAAGGGAGAAGAGGGCTGGGGGGGGACACGGGGATTGAAATGGAGCGTCCGGAGGATCGTACGTGGAAAGTGGGGACGGCAGGAGGGCTGAGTTAGGGGGGGCTCTGCGCTGTTACTGGGGACGGTCAGTCTAGGGGAGCACTGCGGGACCAGCTCCTGCCCCGGGAGTGGCGGAGAGGGGCGCAGGGGGTGCCCCGGGGCTCTTTCGGGCTCGAAGCTGCGGAGGAATCTCAGAGCAGCAGAGAAAGGCCTGACCCATCTCAGCCCTCCCCAAGCCGGGGGTGCACCCAGAGCCTCCCCGATCCCCCGCGGAACCAAGGTCGGGTACCCCGCGCTCCTCCCGCAGTCCCCGGTGCCGCCGGGGCCTCTCTCGCCGCCCGCTCCGCTCCCGCCGCCCGGGATCGCCCCGCCGCCGTCACGTGACACCCGAGGACACGCCTCACGTGACGCACGCCGCCCAATCACCGCGCGGAACCGCAGCCGGCGCAGGCCACGCCCCCTTCACCGCCCCGTTTATCCCAATATGGCGGCGGGGCTCCGGCCGGGCTGTCCCCACAGCGGCACGGGCGCTGCCGGTGGCCGAGTGTGCCATGGCATCCACCACCCGGCGTGGTATCATTGCAGACCTCTCGGGGTCTCCCCACAGAGCTCAGGAGTGCCCGGTTCCACCTGCTCCTGGATTTTTTTAGCCCCCAGCTGCCCGGCCCTAGAGCAGGTGCTTGGGGATGGGATTTATCCACATGCCAGTATCGTGGGAGCGGCTCGCAGCGGTGGGATCCTGTGGGGTTTTGGTTGTACCTTTCAGCCAGGTGGTTCCTTCCCCACCCCTCTCCATGTCTTTCAGGCATAGGAATAAGATACGCAGTTCTCTCAATATTTGTCCCTCTCAAGGATTTCTCAAGCTCTCCAAGGGAGGGAGAGGTAAAGCTCTGGAGTGGAGAATCCCAGAGGAGAAGTGTCACTCGTGTCCATGGGTTTTCCCATCTCTCTGCTCGAAGAGCCAGGAGGGGAGTGCTCACCTGCAGGGATGCACACTGCCAGGTGCAGATGGAATGGGAGCCTCTTTGGATTTCCAGCAGCACTCTGCATTCCCAACCTGCTTGTTTCTCCCAGAGCCTGGAGAAACCTCAGGATGGGCAGCTCGGAGGGACTCCACGTCCACCTCACCTACTGCTTGTGTGTTCGGTTGGGAAATCTTGGCTCTCCCTGCCTTCTCCCTTCCCCTCCCCACTGGAATTCGCCTTTTGGAATCAAAAATCCTACCGGCTATTTTTAAAGTGCTGTCGGAGCCCACTCAGCTCCTGCTCCCAGTGACAGATCCGGCTGTCAGAATCTTCAGCTGTTTTTTGCTCCCTCTGCTCCAAGCCCGAGTGGCAACAGCCGGGATTCCCTCCTCATTCACACCCGGAGCCAGACCCGGGCCGGGGACCAGGATTTTCCTCTGGAGGGTCCAGGGGGATTTGGTGCCCATCCCGTCCGTGGCGTTTGCCAGGGTAAGTGGAGCGCTGGGAGCCTTGGCAGACGTGTGGGGATGGATGGAGGGATGGGATTTATGCCAAGCATGGCTTGGAAGGAAGAATGCATCCTTTGGGATTGATTGTGCACATGGCCCGTCCTGGAAAGAAGAGGGATCCACTCTTCCAGCTCTCTGGCAAATGCTGCTTCCCCCAAATACTTCTCTTCCCACCCCAGTCTTGGTGCTGTAGCTCTCCTGGGCTCAGATGGGCTCTAGAATTTGCTCCCTGCAGGGCAGAGCCGGGTGTGGAAAACAGCAGGAACTTGGTTTAGGAGGCAGAAAGCTTTCCTAAGTGTGTTCCCAAAGGAATTTGTGGGTGCTGGAACGCTGAGGGACCAACTTCCCATCCCTGCCCTCCTCCATGGCCTCTGGAATGGACCTGAAAAATCCTGGTGTGTACATTCCTGACCATTCCTCCTCCTTGCAGGGAGCAGGGGTTGGTGAAGGTGGGATTTCAGGAGTGCAGCCAGCGTGGTCTGGCAGTCATTGATCCCTGGGGACATTGGCCACCAATCCCTGGGGACACTGGTCATCGATCCCTGGGAACATTGGCCAACTTTGACCCGTGCCATGTTTGTGTTCAGGACTTGGCTGTGCCCCGGGAGGGGAGGCTGTGAGAGAAAATGCTGGAAAGTATTCCCAGGAAACGGGAAACATCCCATTCCCTATTGGACACATCCCATAGGGAAAAACATGGTGCTTTTCCACAGGCTCTCACTCTCAGGGCGTGCAGGCAGCCCATTTCCAAGGAGGAAAACCCGTGGTGCTCCAGGGAAACTCCCATGCGTGCATGACCCCACAGTCCCCAGCGTTTGGGGGGCTCCCACCTCCTCCTGCAGCTCCTGTGCCCCACCTTCTCCACACTCCGGCTGCTGTTTCCGGCTGGATCAGAGCCCGGCTAAATTTAGGAGGATCGATTTCAACCCCCGCCTCTGCTTCGCAGGGGAAAGGACGGAGCAAAGGTGGCCAGGAACGAGGAGCCACAGGGGCTTCCACTCCCTGAGCCCTGCACGGGCTTCTGGAACCTCAGATTTTTATCTGGCTGCGAGGCCATGGAGGGGCCCAGGGAGGTTGGAATTCTCCTGGGTGATCCCACGGGTCTCTCTGGCTGTCACTTGGGCCAGAGCTTGTGACAAGGACACCCATGTGTCCCGCAGGGAAGGAGCTCCCAGCTCTAGGAGCCAGACCGTTTCCTGAGGAGGCTGACACAGGTGAGTGGGGCGGTGGGAAAGCAGGAATGAGGGTCCAAGGATATCGCTGGCACCCAGGGATGCTTCAGGCTCTCATCCCACACGTGCTGTCCCCAAAGTGAGGGAGGAGTGAAATGCCCAACACCACCACTGTGAGGAAACAGCTCGAGCAGCACCAGGGGAGGTTTAGGTTGGATATCAGCGAAAATTTCCTCATGACAAGGGTGGTCAAGCCCTGGCACAGGCTGCCCAGGGCAGTGGTGGACTCACATCCCTGGAAGCGTTCAAAGCCGTGTGGATGTGCCACCTGGGGACAAGTGGTGGCTTTGGAAGTGCGGGCTTGGACTTGCTGCCAGCTGCAGGGCCCCTCTTAGTCCCGTCTGCTGCTCTCTCTCCAATCCCACCTCTGGTTCCAGGGCAGCCGCCGAATGAAGCTGGGAGCTGCTGGCGGGTGAGAGACCCTGCATGGATGGGAATGGGGAGACCTGCCCGCAGGAGGAGCCCAGGGCAGCTGGAAAACTCCGGCCTCTTCCTCCGAGCTTTCCTGCTCCTTTTCCTCTGCCGGCATGGTAAGGATCTGCACGGGCAGAGTTGTTCCCCGTAAAAACCACCAGGAGGAATGTCCATGAGAATCCAGAGCGGGCTGGATGGTGGGAGGTGGCGGGGAGGGGAGGAAGGAGAGGCTGCCCATGGGAGCCATCCCGTCTCTCCCAGTATCTTCCCAGTGCAAGATCCTGCGCTGTAACTCGGAGTATGTGGCAGCGACGCTTCACCTGCGCGGCCCGGACCGTGGCAGCGCGTTCTGCACCGCGCTGCGCTCCTATTCCCTGTGCACCCGGCGCACCGCCCGCACCTGCCGCGGCGACCTGGCCTTCCACTCCGCTGTGCACGGCATTGAGGACCTCATGATCCAGAACAACTGCTCCAAGGAAGGGCCCACGGCACCGCCACGGCCGCGGCCCCCCGCCCCGAACCCCCACGGCTTCGAGTCTCTCGACATCTGCGATTACGAGCGGAGTTTCCTCTACAAGCACGGCCGCCCTCCCGGTTTCCAGCACTGTGCTGCTTTTGGGGACCCCCACATCCGCACCTTCCACGATGATTTCCACACGTGCCGGGTGGAGGGCTCCTGGCCGCTCCTGGACAACGACTACCTGTTTGTGCAAGCCACCAGCTCACCGGTGGCCAAGGGGTCCAACGCAACAGTCACCAGCAAGGTAACGTTAGCACACAGGCTGGGTGGCAAATCCAGAGTCAGGGCAGCTCCTATACTTCCCAAAATCCTTGGAAAATCCTGCTTCTAACCCGGGGGGGTGAGGAAGGAGGGGCAACAATGGTGAAGGTTTTTGAGGGGACCCCCGAACATTCCTGTTGCTGTTGGGTGACCGTGTGGTCCATGGGGTGTACCTGAAAGAATCTTGCTGGGTTTGGCTCCACCTGAGTTTTCCATTGGGAAAAAATGAAAAAAAAAAAAAAAAAAAAAAAGAAGGAAAGATTGTTGTTATCCCAAAAGGACTGTGGTTTGAGGATGGATAGGTGAGGTGAGACCTGCATCCTGGGATGGGGCCACGGCCACTCTGCTCATCCCCCTCCTGCCCTGCTCCCCACAGCTAACCATCATATTCAAGAACATGAAAGAATGCATTGACCAGAAAGTTTACCAGGCCGAGCTGGACAACGTCCCAGCAGCCTTCCAGGACGGTTCCGTGAACGGGGGCGTTCGTCCAGGTGGGAGCAGCCTGGTGATCCGGGAGCTCAGCCCGGGCCGCCACGTAGAGATCCGTGCCAGCTACATCGGCACCACCATCGCCGTGCGCCAAGCCGGCCGCCAGCTCTCCTTCTCCATCCGCGCTGCCGAGGAGGTGGCCCGGGCTTTTTCGGAAGAGCAGGACCTGCAGTTGTGCGTGGGAGGTTGCCCCCACAGCCAGCGAATGTCCCGCAGCCCCCGCGGGCGTGGCCGCGTCCCTGCGGACACGGCCCGAGCGCTGTGCCGGGAGATGCTGCCCGTGGAGGATGTTTATTTCCAGTCGTGTGTCTTCGACGTGGTGACCTCGGGGGACATCAACTTCACCATGGCAGCTCACGGGGCGCTGGAGGATGCCCGGCTCTTCCTGCCCGATGCTGAGAAGCTTCACATCTTCCAAGCTGGAGGGGGTTGCCCACTCAGCTCTCCATCCTCTCTCCTCCTCCTCTTCCTCCTCTCCTGTGGACTTTGGGTTGTTTTGTTGCACTTTTAACCCTTGCCTGCTCCGTAGGGGGAACCCGTGAGAGCTGGTGGCTCCAAGCTGCAGCCAGGACAGGTTAGTCACCTTGAAGTAGGTGTCTCCACAGCCACAAGGAATCAGAGACCCAGGAGAGGGAAGAGATGAGCCCCTGGTTTGCCCGCACTGGTCTCACACGGATGGTGCAGCTGCTCCAAGCCCCTCTCCTGAAGGCAGATCCATTTTCTTCTATTCCATTCTGACACGTTCCTTTTCCCCTAAGGATGTGACAAGTGCAGTGCATCAAAGAAAAATAAACCCCATGGGTTAGAAACCCCCTCTGTCCCTCAGAGCCTTTCCAGAACTCATTTCCCATCTTTCTCCCGGTGTTGATCCAGCAGAATTCCACTCGGGAACCCTACAGATCCAGAAATAATGGACTCAAAGCCCAAAGCCCAATTTTTAGCAGTAAAAAAATGATTTTCTAAATGGATTTGGGACCCTTCACTCAGCTGCTCCCAAAGCAGAGCAAGGTCATAAATTGTTTTGGGGAGCGTTGTGACCGAGAGGGAGACTTTTGAGAAGAAATCAGCCGGTTTTGTCCATGTGCTCCTCTTCCAGGATAAATAACAAATGGATCTCCAGCAGTGGGAGCTGTGGAGCTTGAGACCTCCTATATCCCAGGCCACTGTTGCTGTTTTTCCTTGTTTTCTTGGCACCTGCTGTGGACTCAATTTAGCCGGCTCTCGACTTGGGACCGGTGTCAGCTTTCAGGGAGGACAAAACAGCCCTTGGGAATTCTCTCCCTTGGGGTCAGGTTCTCTGTCACTGCACAAACCCAACCCAAAGTGGAGCTTTCACTTGGGAAACAGAATTCCTGATGGCAAAGAGCCAGCTGGGCACAGAGATGGGCAGGGTATTGCCCCGTGGAAGGTGCAGAACTGCAGAGGGGAGGGCAAATTTCACACGTTTCAGAGGATTTCAATAAAGCAGATGGAGTTCTACAGGAGAAATCTTTTCCATAGGGAAGACTTTTTATTTATTTAAGAAAGTATTAAAAACTTGGCCATCCTTGTTCCCACAGAATTGAAGGAAAGGCTTGTGGAGATGAGGGAAAAGGGAATTGCAGCCCCTCCAGGCACGGAGGTTCTATAATTCATGTTTTAATACATCCGTGGCCTTTTCTCTCTCTTTATTCTTTTGTGGCATAGGAAATAATTTCATGGATCTCGTGGCAAATTCCCCCTCGGATGGGTGCTCAGCACAGACCTGCTCCATGTCTTTTACCCTGCTCCTAGTGATCCCTGATGGGTTTGACATTCAAGGGGTCTATTTTTGACTCCCCATTTCCTGTCATCTGTCTCTTCATGTCTTTGGGTGGCAGTGGCAGACGATGATAATAATAATAATCATAATCATAATAATAATAATAATAATAATAATAATAATAATAATAATAATAATAATATCTCCTTCCTCCCCTGCTCCTTTGACTCCAGAGCTTTGGGTGGATGAAATGAAGCAGAAATGAGGAAAGGTAAGCAGGCTGCTTCCCAATGTGCTCCACAGGTCCCTTTGGGAAGAAAATCATGTGGGGAGGAATAAAATCCTCTGTAGGGGGATTAAATCCTCTATGGAGAGAAAATCCTCCACGGGGAAAATGTTCTCCATAGTGATAAAATCCTCTGTAGGAATGAAATCCTCAGGAGCAGCATTGGTAGTGCTGGAGCTCCTGGTAGAAATGGGATGGATTTGATGATGCAGAACCTAATTACCCGTTAGTTGTTGGGCAGTAGAGCCATTCCACAAGAATTCCACGGGGAAAGGAGGGTTCCCAATGGAATTAGACTTTTTTTTCTCCTCCTGAACAGCCTGCACCACCTGGACTGGGCCTGGTGCTTTCCTTGCCAACACTTTCTTAGGAGCCACCTCTGAAATTCAGAGTGCAGCTCCCAGGCTGAAAATGTCCAGGAATTCTGAATTCATGCACCTGATTTGCAGAGCTCTGGTTTCAGGTTTGAGGCTTGGCAGCTCCACCCGACCCAGGGGTGGTCCAACATGGACATTACAACATGGAGAAGCTGTTGCTGATGAATTATGGAATCATTAAGACTGGAGAAACCTCAGATCATTAATCATTAACTCCCACAGCACTGTCCCATGACCCCAGGTACCACATCCACTTGTTTTTGAACACACCCAGGATGGTGTTGCTCTGTTCCAATACCTGACCTCCCTTCCCATGAACACAATTTCCCAAATTTCCAACCTAAACCCTTCCTTGAGCCCTCCTCCTCTTCTCCTGCCCCTCTGGAGACTACCCTGAACTTCCTCAGCTCCAACCACCCAGGCTGGGCACCTGGATGCTGAACCACCCGCAGTGGGCTCCTGTCAGAGCTGGATGCAGTGGCTGAGGTGATTTTTAGCAGGTGACATCAGCCAGGGAGGGAAAGGGTCGATCCAAAGTCCACTGACGTCAATGGGAGCACGCTTGTTGACATCAACAACTTGGGTTGGCGCCCGTGTTGTGCTCCTTTATTCATCGTGGTTGTTCTCCCCCTCAGTGCAGCTCTGGGAGACCTCGTGTGGGAATTATTCCAGTGTGGAATAATTTGGGAGTGGGCCAGGACCATCCCACGGTTGGCACGTTCTCCCAGTGCTGAACCCCTGGCTCTGGGCTCAAGTTTGAGCCTCTGCAGGGTGTCCAAGAGGAGGTGGTGGCCCTGTGACAGAGGGAGATGGTGGTGCTGTGACACTCCCATACCTGCCCTGAGCAGAGCTGGAGCTGCAGCCCCAGGTGGGCCAGGTCACCTTGGCCAAAGTCCCTCCTCGAGGACACGAGGCCCCGAGTGACAGGGCCCTTCTGAGGTGGAGATGCTCAGAACACACCTGAGACACTGTCCCTGGAGGTGTGCACAGCCAGGAAAGCTCACAACAGCAAAGGAATAAGGAAAATTTCCTCCTTCTCAGCAGCCAAGAGTGCTCCAAAGCTGCAAGTGAGAGGCCTGGGGAAGAGGAGACATGGATGGATGGATGGATGGATGGATGGATGGATGGATGGATGGATGGATGGATGGATGGATGGAGAATCCTCTGCCGTTCCTGGGAAAGCCTCTAGATGTCCACAGAACCCAGCACACAGGAAGGGCTCTGGCACAGTCAGAGTTCCAGAGTGCCAGGATGTCCATCCCTTACCGCAATCAACCAGGAATTAGAGAATTCCAGGTTGGTTTCGGCTGAAAAAGACCTTAAAGATCATCTTCCTCATGGCAGGGACACCCTCCAGAGACCAGATGGCTCCAAGTCACACTTTTCTTCCCCAAGTTTGACACTCCCAGGTCTTGCTCGCTGCCTTGGAGCAGTTTTGGCTGCCGAAAAGGAGGAAAAATTTTGTATTCTTGTGCTGTCTGAGGGGCTCCAGGGTCTCTGCCAGCAGCTGGGGGAAGTCCCTCTCCCAGCTGGAGTGGAGCTGATGTCACCGACTCTTCCTGCCAGAGCAGATGACAAACTCGGGACTTTACAGACCCAAGATCTGAATTCCTTCTTGTTTATGGATGGCTGAACTCTTCCGGAGCCCTATCTCCCCCTGCCTGCTCCAAAAACACCCTCTGGGCAGAAAACAGGGGAAGAAATCCCACCTGGGATTTCCTGGCTGAAGGCAGGTGGAGCTTCCACATCCCAGTCTCCAGTGGGAGCTGGAAAAGTGGAAATTCAGGGGGAAAAATCCTCCTGTGCAAGCCCTTAGAAGACTTGTCTCCTTTCAGGGAAGGGAAAAAAGGGATCTCGATCCCTCTCCCTGGAGAATCTCAAACATTGGGGTCAAAAGCCTCTACTGGGGACAAAACAGCAAAAAAAGGGGAAATTTTGGGATTCCCTGTTGGAATCCGTCCTGGAGCTTTCCAAGCTGTTCCTAGAAGATCTCTGAGGAGTGACAAAACTCTGTACCTGGCAATCCTGAATAGGTGAGCATTCTCTGCCTCCAGCCAGGCACTGAGAGAGAGAGAGAGAGAGAGAGACAGAGACCTTCCCTTCTACCCCCAAACCACTGCTAGGATTTAGGAACTTACTCTGGAGCCTCCACTCCTGAAAATCCCCAGCGTGGGACAAGCAGCTGCTTTTCAGAAGCCACCCCAGTCCGTTGTTTTCCAGCTGGGCTCCATTCCCAATATTCCCTGTTACATAAACAACCAGAGGAAATGCCTTTTCCACCCCAGCTTCTCCACTGCACACCCGGGACAATCTGTCCCTATTCTCCAGCCATTGTGGGTCCCTCCCTGGTCCTCTGTCCCCCCCCTCCCAGCCTGTGAGATGCTGGGAGAGACCATATAAGGTGAGAAAACATGGAGCAAAGAGCCCGGAGAAACTGCGGGGCTGCCGGCACCCTCCGGCGTCCCAGCGATCTGGAAATTGTTTGTTTGATAGCAAGGACAAAGGCCAGGCTGTCACAGCAGCACCGTGGCTTCTCCTGGCAACCAATTCCGATAACCCGAAGCAGAAAAAACACGGATCTTATCAGCACCAGGGAGCTGGGCTGGTGAAAACAAGTCGGTGCCATGCCCAGTTCCTTCCCCGGGACCCACCCGGAGCTCAGTGACTCACCTCAGGGCCCATTTTCTCACTCTGTGGCTTTGGAAGTGGGTTATTCGGAGGCTAAGGGTTAGTCACACCGTCCTGGCCATCTCTTTTTCCCCTGGCTAGGAGCTCCGGGAAAAGCAATGGATCCTGCCACTCTCCCCATCCAGTGGAATTGGAGCACGGGGGATCCTCTGAGCCCCACGATCCCATGGGAAAGCAGCTTGGAGGGGGATGAATGCCTTGAATAACAGTTTAGTGGCAGCAGTAGGTTGTCCCTGCCCAGAGTTCCTGGTTTTTCTTGGTTTTGAAGGAGATTTGACATGGGGAAAGTTTATTTTTTTACAAGTGAAAGTCCCACGGTGTTCCCGACGCCCCAGATCCATCCAGGGGTGCTGCTGGTGTGAGAACACTTCCTGCAGCAATTCCTGGAGGGAATTCCAGCAGCAGAGAGTGGGGAGGAGGGATTGCCACTGGATGGAGGGCAGGGGGGGAAAGGGCAGCACTGATTGGCAAGGCTGGAGGAATTTAGGGAGGATTTGGTATGTGGAACATGCCTTGGATCATATCCTTGACAAGTTCCAAGGCCCTTTGACTTTGCTGGAATGTGTCTAAGCAGCCCTGGGCTGGGGACGGTTTCCTTGGAAAGGTGTGCACCGATGGGAACTGGAGAGGGAGAGCAAAATCATGGCTGTGACAGGAACACCAGCACAGATCTAAAGGGGTCAAATATCCCACGGCAGGGAAGGCTGGAAAAAGCTCCCCACCTTTGTCAAATTAGAGCAAATCCTTAATTCTGCATTAACCCATCCCCTCTTTCCTAGCGGGGACCAGAGGAAAAAAAGGTGCAATTCCTCCATTCTGCACCAAACCACGGAATAATTCCCTCTCAAGGAGGAATACTGTCCTGCGGTTTGGCAGGAGAACAGTTTATACCCCACGGTTTATCCGGTGCTTTATCGGTTTATACGATCAGGTGTGAATTAACTCTGGGGGAAGGAGGCAATGCAAGGGCAGGAAAAGTGCCAGGAACACTCGGACAAACAACCCCTGAAGGACAACTGCCAACAAAAACAGCTCCCTGTTCCTCGTTAGGGTGGGGAGCCCCCCCCATTTCCATTGCTCCAGTGCTGGGTTGCTCCATGAACATTGTTCTCCTGTTTCCTCTGCTCCCAGCATTTTCCTGAGCTGGGAAAGCACTAAGGGCTGGGAAAAAAAAAAAAAAAAAAAAAAAAAAAAAAAAAAAAAAAAAAAA